TGCTGGTGGAGATATAAACTATGTCACCACTATGGAAATCATTATGGAGGTTCTAAGTAAACCTAGAAAAATACAAACGGAACCACCATATGATCAAGCTATACCACCACCCCGGCCACACACACGAATCTATATCATCCATAGTACAGAGGCACTTGGTCATCCATGTAGACTGTAGTATTGTTCACAACGGTCAGTGCATAGAATCAGCCCAATGTCCATCAACACATTAATGAATATAGAAATTATAATGTATACAATGGAATTTTATTTAAGCACTAAAAAGAAATCCTGAAAAATGTTATTTGTAGTAAAATTGGTAAAAAATGATCATCATGTCCATGAAATAAACCAGCTTCAGAAAGACAAATATGCATAATTTCCCTCATATGCAGAATCTATGTCTTCCAAAGCGGGGAGAGCAGTAGAAGGCAACAGGGGGAGCGAAGATAAAAGGCTGTGTGCTTCTCCTATAGAGAATCCATAACAACACTCACACTAGTTTCTGTGCTTACATAAAACCCTGTGATCTGTACATCACAAGGTAATGGTTTTGTTGTGGTATACATACTTATAATTTATTCTTATTCATTTTGGTTCTCCTACATATTTTTTAAGCTACTGTGAATGTTTCCTCTTTTTTTCCTGTCTTCTTTCTCAGAAACTTCATTGTTGGTATTTGGAAAAGCTATGTGTTTTGTGTATTGCTTTGGTATCCTAATTCTTTGTTAATCTGAGACTTTCCTGGTACTCTTCAGTGTCCTTTTTAGTAAAGGATCATGCTATTCACCAACAGGGATAATTTAGCTTCTTCCTTTCTTATTTGTGTCCGTTTTATTTCTTGCTCTTGCTTTATGCTCTATCTAAAATGTCAGGCACGTTATTGAGTAAAAGCAGAGAGGGAGGACAACCCTTGCTTGCTCCTCATTCTGGAGCCCATGCTTTAGATATCCCTCCATTTATTATGATGCTGTCTACAGATGTAGTGTATATAACTTCTATCACGAAGGAAAGTTGCGCTTTGCCTAAGACCTTTTCTGCATCTACTGAGATGATTATGCTATTACTGCCCTTCTGTCTGCTTGTGTGCTTTATTATAACTTAAATGAATTATAAACTATTCTTTTTGTTTGTTTTTCTTTTTTATTTTATCTTTAAAAACTATCTTTTTACTTTACATACCAATTCCAGTTCCCACTCCCTCCAGTCCTCCCACTTCTTCCACCTTCCTCCCTCCCCACCCCCATCCACTCCTCCCAGAGGGTAAGGCACTTTGCTTTGAGGCTGGACCAAGGCCCTCCACCCTACCTATATCTAGGCTGAACAAGGTATCCCTACAAAGAGAATGGATTCCAAAAAGCCAGTACAAGCAATAAAGATAAATTCTGGCCTCACTGCTAGTGGGCCCACAGTCTGCCCCAGCCATACAACTGTCACCCACATTCAGAAAGCCTTGTTTGGTCCAATGCTGGTTCCCCTGTTGTCAGGCCAGAGTTGGTGAGCTCCCATTAGTTCAGGTAAAGTGTTTCGGTGGGTTTTCTCCATCATGGTCTTGACCCCTTTGCTCATATTATAGGTCTTCCCTGTCTGCTACTGGACTTTGGGAGCTCACCAGTGTTCTGCTGTGAATTTCTGCCTCTGCTTCCATCAGTTACTGGAAGAAGGTTCTATGGTGACATTTAAGGTAGTCATCAATCTGACTACAGGGCAAGGCCAGTTAGGACACCCTCTCCACTATTGCTTAGAGTCTTAGCTTGGGTCATTGTCGTAGGCTCTTGAAAATTTCTCTAGTGCCAACTTTCTTTCCAGCCCCATAACGGTTCACTCAATCAAGATATCTCTGTCCTTGCTTTATGTCTCTGTCCTTCCCCAGGTCGACTACCCCATTCCCTCAAGTTCTCCTCCCCACTGGTCTTCTCCCCTCCTTTTCCCCTTCTGCCCTACTGTCTCCTCACACCCCATGCTCGTAATCTTCTCATGAGATCTTATCTATTTCCCCTTTACAGGGGAATCTATATGTGTTTCTTTTAGGGTTCTCCTTGTTTTAACTTCTCTGGGGTCATGGGCTATAGGCTTGTTTTCCTTGCTTTACAACTAGTATCTACTTATGAGTGACTACATTCCATGTTCATCATTCTAGAGCTGGGTTACCTCACTCAGGATGTTTTTTTTTAGTTCCATCTATTTGCCTGCAAATTTTAAGATAGCATTCATTTTTTTTTAATCAGTAAGTAGTACTCGATTGTGTAAATGTGCAACATTTGCATTACCCATTCTTCAGTTTAGGGGCACTTAGGTTGTTTCTAGGTTCTGGCTATTGTGAATAATGATGCTATATACACAGTTGAGCAAATGTCCTTGTGGTATGAGTGTACATCCTTTGGATATATGTTCAAGAGTGGTATTGCTGGGTCCTGAGGTAGAGTGATTTCCAATTTTCTGATGAACTGCCTTACTTATTTCAAAGTAGCTGGACAACTTTGCATTTCCACCAGCAATGGAGGAGTGGTCCCCTTACTCCACATCCTCCCCAGCATAAGCTATCATTGGTGTTTTTTGTCTTAGCCATTCTGACAGGTGTAAGATGGTATCTCACGGTCATTTTGATTTGCATTTTCCTGATGGTTAAGGATGTTGAATATTTCCTTAAGTGTCTTTTTGACATTTGTGATTCTAATGTTAAGAATTCTCTGTTTTGAACTGTACCTCATTTTTAAATTGGATTATTTGGTATTTTGAAGTGTAATTTCTTGAGTTATTTATATATTTTGGAGATCTGTCTTCTGTCTGATGTGGGTTTAGTGAAGATATTTTCCTATTCTATAGGCTGCCTTTTTGTCTTACTGACAGTGTCCTTTGTTTTTCAGAAGCTTCTCAGTTTCAGGAGGTCCCATTTATTTATGGCTGCTCTCAGTGTCTGTGCTACTGGGGTTATATTTAGGAAGTGATTTCCTGTGCCCACACATTGAAGACTACTTCCCAGTTTCTCTTCTATCAGGTTCAGTGTAGTTAGAATTATTTTTAAGCCTTTAATATATTTGTACTTTAGTTTTGTGCATGGATCTCTTTGCAAACATCCAGTTATGCCAGCATCATTGATTGAAGATGTTTTCTTTTTTCCATTGTATAATTTTAGCTTCTTTGTCAAAAATCATGTATTCGTATGTGTGTTGATTAATATCCAGGTCTGCATTTCGATTCCGTTGATCAACCTGTCTATACCAAGCTGTTTTCATTACTGTAGCTCAGTAATAGACCTTGATGTCAGGGATGAGGCTGCCTTCATAAGTTCCTTTAATGTACAGGATTGTTTTGGATATTCTGGGTCTTTTGTTTTTCCATATAAAATGGACTATTGTTCTTTCAAGGTCTGTGAAGAACTGTGTTGGGATTTTGATGGGGACTAAATTGAATCTATAAATTACTTTTGGTAGGACTGTCATTTTTATTATGTTTATCCTACATATCCAAGAACATGTGAAATCTTTCCATTTTCTGGTATCTTTTGTTACCCCAAGATATGTTATTTTATTTGTGGCTATTGTGAAGAGTAATGTATCTCTGATTTCTTTCTCAGATTTTTTATCATTTTTATATAGGAGGGCTACTGATTTATTTCATTTGATCTTGTATGATGACACATTATTGAAGGTATTTAGAGTTTTTGGGGTCCCTTCTGTATACAGTCATATCATCTGCCAATAGTGAAAGCATGCCTTCTTCCCTTCCGATTTGTTTCCCCTTCTTCTTCTTCTGTTGTCTTATTGCTCCAGCTATAGCTTCAAGAACGATGGTAAATAGACATGGAGAGAGTAGACAGCCTTGTCTTGTTTCTGATTTTAGTGAAATTGCTTTGAGTTTCTCCCCATTCAATTTGATGTTGGCTGTCGGCTTGCAGTGTATTTGCCTTTATTATGTTTAGGTACGTTCCTTGTATCCCTGACCTCTGCAGGGTGTTTATCATTAAGGAATGTTGAATTTTGTAAAGTGTTTTTTCAGCATCTAATGGGATGGTCATATGTTTTTCTTCTTTCAGTTTATTTATATGGTGGATTACATTGACAGATTTTCATATGTTGAACCATCCCTGCATCTCTGGGATGAAGCCAACTTGATCATGGTGGATGATTTTCTATCTTTCTATGTTTCTTTCTTTTTTTTTTCGTGATGTGTTCTTGGATTCAGTCTGCCAGTAATTTATTGAATATTTTTGCATCAATGTTTATGAGAGAGATTGGTCTTAAATTCTCTTTCCTAGTTGAGTTTTTATGTGGTTTCGGTTTCAGGGTAACTGTAACCTCATAAAAACGAATTGGTAATGTATAGATGCCAAAGAAAGACACCTACCAAGAAGGAGGTCTCAGAACTGGGCATACGAACTGGCTTGTGACTAAACATCTGGGGGATGACTTATGAAAATGCTTTTTAATCTTATTTTAAAAATCTACCTTTAAGTATCAGTGATACTGAATATGTGCCGTCCCCTTTACCTATAAATATTATCTTAAATCTATTTTTTTCATAAAAGCAAACCTTTGGAAGAGGCTTGAAAAGGTAACTTAACGAGTAAAAGGTCTTATACAAAAATATTAGGACGCAATTCAGTCTCCAGAATTAATATAAAAAGTGTAATAGTATATTCTTATAGCATCAGTGC